GTGTCATCTGCTTCCCGGAAAATGGCGTAGCCCACGTCTCAGCTTGCCGTGCCCAACCCGCTCCGCCCCAGCTCTCACCGGGGCCTGTCCTCTCTTCTTCTGTGTCTTGTTACAGGCCCCAACACCTATGAAGATGCAGCCGCCTACATCCAAGCACAATTTGAAAGCAAAAACCGCTCACCCAACAAAGAAATTTACTGTCACATGACTTGTGCCACAGACACGAATAATATCCAGGTGGTATTCGACGCCGTCACCGACATCATCATTGCCAACAACCTCCGGGGCTGCGGCTTGTACTGACCACTTGTCGTGTATAGCAACCTATTTGGTAATGATTCCAGCACTCACAGAAAAGCTTGTACACACACACACACACACACACACACACACACACACACCACTAATAAATGCAAGTTGGTAAATAAACTTTAAAAAGGCATAACAAAACCTTATATATATATATACAAATATATATTAAAAAATACTTTTTAGTTTGTACTAGAAAGAGCTTCGGACAGAACTGACCACCATCCCACAGATCAAGGTTTTCCTGGGACAGCACATGAGCACGTGTGTGCGCATGCATACGTACACACACACGTCGTGATGGGAGTCCTGATTTGGGAGACCATCCTTTTAAGAACAGCCACGTGATTTTACTCTCTGAGACCCACCTCTGAGCGGGGGGAGGGGCGGGGCAAAGAAAGGCCTGGCACTGGCCCGGCCGTCTCTGCTTCTACCACGGAGGCAGCGACGCTCAGTTCTGTCCTGCTCTGTGCGTATTCCCAAACCCTTTTAAAAATGCCCGACACCCTAAACATCTCCTATACCTCCCCCAAAACAACAGAAGAATTAAGGATGCTACTCTTTTGGATGGTGGTGGTTGTTAATTTCAAGAATTTAGAAGAATCATTGCTCCGACCAATGCACTGTCTCCTGAGTTTTCTTTACTCATGTCAACAAGGCAAGAGTCAGAAAAGGGAGACTTGGTCTGCTTTCTGAAAGCAGTGAGCAGATGGGACATGCACCAGGGCTCAGGTCCACCTGTGAAGTTGAAGCCCCTACCTCCAGGAGGGCAGCTAGGGAGATGGGAAGAGATGGAGAGATGGGGACAGGAGTGGCCAAGGGGGGAGGCTGGCTCTGCAGACCTGACCTGGTCAGGGTCTCACAGATGAAGCCTCCCAGGGCCCTGAGATGGGCTTCCCTTAGGGACCTGATCTTTTCTGTTGCTGCCCTGTCTCACCTCACCCCAACATGATAGAAAATATGCTAGGGTTTGTTGGTTGGTCGGTTGGTTGGTTTTTAAACTCAAAGAAACTGGTCAGACTGGACCCCCTTATCTCTCTCTCTACAGACTGCTTCACGGACTCTTTGCTGTTGACGTTGACCTCCTGGTAGCATGACCTTTTGGCCTTTGTAAGACACACAGCCTTTCTGTATCAAGCCCCTGTCTAACCTACGACCCCAGAGTGACTGACGGCTGTGTATTTCTGTAGAATGCTGTAGAATCCGGTTTTAGTTGAGTCTTTACATTTAGGATTTGAAAGGAAAAAAAAGAACATTTCTCATGTGCTTTGTAGCTTAAAAAAAACAAACGGAAAATGGAAAACTCACCATTACATCCATATTACTTTTCTTTTTGGAATAAAGAAACATACATCTGCACCTGTGCCCTCCCTATCCCGCCTTGTGGCGGGGCCCCCAGCACCCCTGCAGAGGTGCCAGGCCCGTCTGTGCCCGGTCCCCAGATGTGCTCAGGCTGGCCGCACTTTCCAGAACTCCGTGGGGTGCTAAAGCACCCCACATCACCCACACACGCCCGTCCCACCCATCACGCCAACCACATGCTCACTCCAGGTTTATATAGAAAAAGCACAGCTCTCACTGGCCCGTAGCTGCCAAAAAGAATACCGATCGTATGTATAAACGAGCCCGATAGAAAACACGTTTCCCGCCAAGCCCCCTTCTACAGAATCCCTTGGTCGTTTCTTTTCCGTTGCTTAGTTTTTGTTTTGATTTTTGTCCTGATGAGCACTGTGTACTGCACACCATATCAGCTTTCCTGGCCTCTGGGATTCGGGGTTGTGGTGTTTTCCTTTGGCCTTTTTGCTTCTCGGTCTCAGATGGATGCTGTGTGTGTGTGTGCGCCCTCCACCGTCTCCTTTGTCTCAGTGGCCTGTGTTCGCTCTTTCTCATGTGGGGATGTTTGTGCTGCAGATAAAAAGAACAAAAAAAATTTTTTTAATACCACCAGATGGAAAAAAAGAAAACCACACACACACAAAAAAAAAAAAATTAAAAAAAAAAAGGTGGAATGTAGTGTGTCCATGAAAGCCAGTTTTCATGATCAGTTCTATGTCATTTCTACTTTGACTCGTATCCAAACCCCCAACCTCTTCACTTTTAAGATTTAAGATTTGCTGAAGAAAACCAGTCACATCCATTTCAGATAAAGAGGAGGCAAAAAGACAAAACACACAAAAAATTAAAAATACAGGAAAAAAAAAAACTTGAAAAAAAGGAAAAAAATAAAATTAAAAAAAAAAAAAAGCCCACGGGTCTTTCTAAGCCTTTCTATTCCCAATCGGTGAGGTTTCTGTGGTATCTTACACACTGCCAGTCCACTTCTCTAATGGAAAATTCATGTGTAGCTCAATAAAGAGAATGTTTGTCTGTATTCCTGAGTCTCTCACCCTTGGGCTTCGTTCTGACAGGAAAGGGAAGGAGGGACTTGACTGGGCCACAGACACCGGGAGGCTGGCGCCAGGGCCGTAGGTGCCATTGAAAGAACCTCCCCGCCCCCCCACCCCACCCCTAAGACCTAGGACCTTCTCTATGTCCCCCCTCGTTGCTGCCATTTAGGGGAGCCAGCTGAGTGCAGTCATCTGGGAGCAGGCAGGGCACGGAAGGGGCCATCCTGCCGACTGACGCCCTCTTCCTCCCTGGTTTTGTGTGTTTGAGGGTGGAACTGAGGCTTGGAAACGGAAAAATAAGAGGAGGGTGGGTCATCCCAAGTTTCCTGATAATACTGTTTCTTCTGTTCCCAGTGGTCCCACTCCAGTGGGAGAATGGGTAGCCCCAAGAATGAGGCCCAGTTGCCTGGGTCCCCTGCACCCAAGGTGTCACATCTGTTCACTTGAACGTCTGTAAAAGCCCTGGCTACTGCACCTGGATGCCAGGAAGGCGCTGCAGGCTGGACACGCAAGGGTTCACGGGGATCCGCACAGCCTGGCACATGGCCTGGCACATGCGCATGGAGTCCAGTTCCTGTCTCCTCCAGGCTGCAGGTCTCATGATCTGTCCCCTGGGTTGCCAGGTATTTGCTGTAATACTAGCAAATCGGTTGAGATTGTGACCTGGAGGGAACACAGCCCACCAAAGCGCTAGCATTGCATCGTATCAGCCAAGCAGTCAAGTGCCACACGGCGCCATCCAGGGAGATGGGAGGGTCTCCGAGGTCAGCTCATGGGCATCCTCTCCACAACCAACAGGCAGGCATGGTCAGCCCAGGCAGGCCTCCCCTTGGCAATTCCAGGGGTGGTTTTGAGTTTAGTCAGGGTGGGGGTGGGGGTTGACACTGCTGCAGAGACCATGGAATAACAAGAGACTAGTTCCCTACTGTTATAAAGACCTAACTGATCTGGGCACCCCTGGACCTTCCCACCAGCTCCCCTCACCCCAACGTATCTGCAGAGGGAGGCTCATTACCACCTATTCGTGGGAAGGTTGCACTCCTGGCCACTTGAGTTCATAACGCTGGTCTGGGGGGCAAACCCGGACGCAGATGCAAGGCTGAAAGATACCGTGGCTGTCAACATATGGCATACCTGAAATTTGCTAAAAATGTTCTAGCAGGTTCTTTCCCAACTTTCAAATAAGTGTTGTAGATCAAACCAACAGAACTTTCTCTGCCTTATCTTCCTTAAAATTAAGTCAGAAAGCATTGTTTTGGGAGAGGATGCAGGGAGAGGCCAATTGAATTAGAGCGCGGTGCACGGGGACAGAGCTCACGCATCTCGGGCTCTGAAAGCCCACAGGTGACTCTGATGAACCAGAAAGCAAGGCGGTGAGACGGGATGGAGGCGTCCAGGGGCCTTCAACCCTACGACGAGCTCGTGGGCTCAGTCACACCCAGAGAGAGGATCACAGCTCAAGTGGGAAATCAGGTCCAAGTGACCAGCAGGGAGCCCAAGATTTGTATCAACACAATTAAACGATGGACCATCTTTAAAAGCCTCAAAATTGGGGGTAAAAAACAAACTGTGGAGAACCCAAGATGTCAACAAAACAGGGCCGATAAGAAAATGGAGGGAGTGACACAGACGCCTACAAAGAAGGCAACTCAACCAGCATTCACCAGAGCGCCTGGCCACTCCCTGCTCTCCATGTACAAACCCGACCCAGTGGCCTGGCCTCAGCTCTGGGCTACAGGGGCTGAGAACAAGAACAGCTGCCCTGGCCATGGAGACAGGACGGTGAATGTCATGAGCTAGGGACCCCCCCAATGTAATGGGACACTGGTCTAGCTCCTGCCACTGCCCTTAGCATCTTGCCACAAGGAGTGATAAAAGCCCAGAGACGATAGGGCCCAGAATCTTTAACTATCCAGGTGCAAAATCTAACAGTGAATTTAGGACTTCTCTTCTCGGTCACTGTAAGGCGTGTCTCCACTTTGGTCAGTCATACTGCTATATTCCAATGTCTAAAGACCTTCTAAAGTGACTGCACATAATTTTCTCCCTTGACACATCTGAAACATAAGAACACGTGGAATAGTGTCTTTAACGTGTACAGCATGCAAGTGTAAGGGTGGAAAGAAACCGCCAACCACGGTGGTACACACATCAAAATGGGATCGAACGCTGGCACCTCTGAAAACGCTGCCTTAGCTTCCAGCCACACGTAACACACCAGAAGAGTTTGCTTTTTATTATTATTACTATTTTACAATAAAAACAAAGAACTATGCTCTCAGCAAAACAAAACACATTTTTTTTAAAAATCACAGAAATTTACTAACAGCATTTCAAGGTAAGGCTTTTGAAAGACCTATTGAAATAAATTATCTTGGCCTACACATTTACTTATCACTCTTTTTTCAATAACTTTTCAACATTCTAAAAACTTTCAGTTATGCAAAATACATTTAACTTTGCCAATAATTTTAGATAATACTGGATTCTCCCCAAAAGGACTACCATAAAATTATGCTTTGAAACATTAAACAAACAAACAAAAAAACTTAATTCAATAGGACATAAAAAACTGAACTATGTAACCTATGATTGCATGTTTCAAATCCTTAAAGTTAAATGTGTGAAGAATTTGGAAAGGGTCAGGACCCCTGGGTCTGCTCCAAGGCAGGTGGACTCAACATCTTAACCTTTCTATGTTTAATTAAACCAACAGGAACAAAGTTATGAAAATGAAGGGCTCCAGGGAAGAAAGGTACAAAACATACCTTTTGTTTCTTCGGTAAAGCCCTCCAAAATGTCCACTCCCATCTCGTAAGGCCCACATTTTCTCTAAGGACCACACTCACAGCCACTGGCATCACCTAATTTACTTGACCAAGGAATTCAAACCAGACACCAAAGCTTGCTGCTCAGCCCTTGCAATGCTGGTCTTCCCCATGTCCGGGGGGCAATGAATTGCAGAGAACAGACAGCCAGGGTCAACTCCTGAGACGCAGGAGCACTGCGTTAACGGATACGAAGCCAGCTCTGGTAAGTCCCGGATGTACTGGGACATGAGTCGCCTGCTCACGCTCCATAGCCCCAGGCTGCTCCAGGTATCAAACCGAGTTTTTTCCAAGACACCCTGCTGGCCCAGGGGTCAGGAGCCCATGGGTCCGGCCTCACTAGCAACAGCAATTTGACAAGAGAAACTCTCCTATGGTGTGGAGTCAGGCTGCTGCTGAACCTCTCCAAGCTGCTCTCTATGAATCCTGCGCCCCCACCCCCCTCCCTTCCTGCCAGATCTAGAGCTAAGACACCAGCATTTGTTGTGACTTAAGTATAAAGCAATAACCGAAGCCGCTGGCCTCAAGGTCTCTGGCTGCCCACTTCCTCCTGACCTCCCCTCACCCGTGAGCAGTCCAGTCAACGCCAGAAGAGATCATGCCTCGAGTTAACATGTGCAGTGTTTCTAAAGGGAAAAGAAATGTCACATAGAAAGTATTACAAAAAAGGATTAAATTTGTCAGCTGTCCAAACACTATTAAGACCACATGCTTTATACAGCGGCAATGCAGTCAAGCCCACTTCTTCACACAGCAGGCGGAACGGGGACAGGCCTCTTCCGGGGGCACCCGCTCCACTCAGGAGGAGGTGGCTGAGGGAGGCCAGGACGCGCTAGGAGGTCTGCTGCTTCTGGAGTCTCCGTTCGGCAGCCGCAGCCAGCATCCTTCGACGCAGGGTCACGGGGTCCGAGGCCGTGCTTTCTGAGGGGAGGCAGCTCTCTGAGGCTGAGTCATCTTCCGAAGTTCTGTTCAAGAAGCGCCTTGAACAAAAACCCAAAGGATTTATATGAGAGATAAGGAAAGTTCTAGAACGCATACATACAAAAACATACAGTATACGTTTATTTTTAATCTCCCCATTTTCCAGGCACCTCGTGAGACTGTCACTGAGCACACCCACGCACCACAAAGTCCCCACTCACGAAACTGGCCCTATAAACACAATACTGGCCCTGTCCCCATGAGTTCAAATAAAAAGCCCCTGCCTATCCACAGGGACACTCCATGCTCCAGGGGGACACGTGGCACACAGATGCATAAGCAGAGTGGCCAAGTGGGAGGACTTGGGGGCCGGACCTCTCTAGGCCTGTTTCTTCAGCTTTAAGTCTGTCAAATGGGTATATTTACAGCGCTCCTGCTGAGAGGTGTCAAGAGAGTTAGAATAATAAATACAAAGGCCTTAGAACACGCTGGCACTGAGTGCTGTCCATGCACGTGTGGCTGAAGATGTCCACAGAAGACGGGCGAGGGCACCAGCTGCCAGGAGCTCCCAGCTGGGCCCAGTATTACCGATGTTCTGCTTTTTCAAGAGAGGTTTGAAATCAACATTCAGACAAGGAATGGTTTTTCATTGCTGGCATCTGCTTAAAGGCGTGCTGTGGGCCTGACATGACAAGGGCCTCCAGCCCACTGGGTTACGACCTGAGCCTTATACCAGCAAGGGCTGCAGAACCGACTTACTTCCGAGCTTGCTGCAGGAGGTCGTCCTTGCGCTGGACTAGCATGCGCTGTCTCTCGTCGGCGGACTTGGAGAAGCGGCTCCCCCGAGCCTCAAAGTCTTCCCCCTCACTGGGCTCCGCCTCCAGCTCACTGAAGTCCAGGGCCTCATCCAGCCGAGGAGTGAGGCCCAGAGGCACACGCTCCGTCTGGACACGAAGGAAGCGAGGAGCCACGTGAGCACGAGCTGCCCTCCTGGGCAGACCCCGCCTGCCCTGAGTGCCCCACCAGTGTTCTTCTGGACCCAAAGGGAGGCCTGCTGCCCGGCAAGGCCCCACGAGCACCTGTGTGACGGCAGGAGTGGGTCCTGGCGGGCAGGCCGCCACACCGGGCTTGGGCACCACTAAGAACAGAGCCTGGCTGGCACTAGATGTTCAATGCCAGTGGAATAGGTAAATGATTAGCAGTCCGACAAACACAAGCACCCTGAGACAGCACTTGTGGAAAATAATACAGTTATTTTCTGGGAATTCTTACCTGGGAATAGTTTGTATTCTGGGAATTCTACTAGGTGCTCTAAAAATTAAACAAGTCTTATCACATTTACCACACACATTTTATATCCTCACGTGACTCTGAAAACAGTCGAGCAGATTAAAAGGGTAAATTCTAAGGATCCTTTTTTTAAATAGATAAGATCATGTGGTTCCTTGTGTAACAGGTTATTAAATGGAAGCCAAAGGCCAAGACAATGCCCAGGTGCCCCACAGGCTTGGGCAGGTGCCCGACCATCTGTGCTTGTACCACCAAGCAGACCCAGGCCGGCCAAGGTCAGCACAACTGCCCACTGCTAGGCCACGGCAGAGTTCAGGTAGAAAAGGCTTAGGGAAAGGCCTGTTTTTAGGGGCTCCTGGTGTACGGTGCCTTTCCATCATCCCCCTCATCACCTCCGCCTGCCTTCAGCCCAGCACGGAGGGGACTTCAGGAGAACAAAGTGGCCTCTGAATCACAGTCCCTGGAGTTTGGGGGACACAAGGACTGGTGGCTAACACACACCTGAGAAATCTGAGAGAAAGAAACTGGCTTGTAGCAGATTAACAAAAGGCTGCAGCGAGCGCAAGCTGGACTCCACTGCCTGGGGACAGGCCTGGGTCCGGCAGGAGGGCACCTGCTGAGGCTGCTGAACCAGACTCTGCCCAAGACAACCACATGGAGAGGGATACGCCCCCACAAAGGTAGGGGTGGTCATGAATAGCCAGTCTGGGTTCAAAGGAAGTGTAGTCGAGAATTCTGTGCTAGATGAACAGGGAGATCTCTGAGATGACAATTGTAAAACCCACACGTGTGTACACAGGCGCACGCACACACGCTCTGGGGTCACATGCCCATCTTAACCCTCTCTCTTCCTAAGCCTGACCCTCAAGGAGGTTGAAAAGGACAGGTGGTAAGTGGAGAAGGAGATGAAGGAAACAGAAGCCCTCCCTCAGGCTGGTGCAGGCCTGAGCTGGGGCCGGCAGAGACAATAAGTGCTGAGCAAAGCTGATGTGATGATTGGGCTAAACTGAGGTTTTTATTAACTGACTCATCCAAGGGCTTTTTATTTCCTGAGAATGCCGAAAATGTTATATAGCAAGCTTCCTTGTCAAACAAGTACTTTCCCTCCATTATGTCAGTAAAAAAAAACAGAAAAATTCAGGAATCTTCATATTAACTCTAAAAATAGAGTCGGGGGAATCAAGACAGGACTCAAATGTTCTATACCCACAGCTGCCCCAAGCCAGTCTGTCATGCAAATGTAGGCAAAGCCAGCTACCCAAAACACTGAAAATGCAAACAGAAACCCTGTCTTCAGAAGCCAAGCACCACTTTACAAATGCTCAATCCAATTATGAATCTGAATATGAAAAATTGAACTCAGCAACAGATTTGCAAACTTCTTAGGAGTTTTTACTGTTTCCCAAGTCACCCAAAGTGGGTATCCAGGCAGATCTGGTTCCCAAGACAACCACACTTCTCCCGCCCGACACCCACTCAGGTATCTTGTTTTTGTGAAATGCATGGAAATGCCTGGAAATGCCAAGTGGGACAGGTGAAGCGGAGGGAGAGTGGCTGTAGTTTCAGCTCTAGAGATCTGAGCCCCACTCAACCCCCTTCTGGGTTTGCATGACCCCAGACACCCTGAGTTCTACGCCCAGCTTCACGCTGCCCTCCCTCGTGCTACCACTCAAGCCCAAGGTGGCAGGGCTGGCCCAGGGGAGCATGGCCCCTTTCTCCGCCAGGTCCTGAAGACAATCCCCAGGGAGTGGGCTGCAGGCCCTGGGTGGGAAGGCAGGCCACGCCATGGGCACAGCTTGGTGTGTTCGCCTTAAATCCTGAGACAGACATGACATACAGCCTGTCTTTTATACTCTTGCCTTAGGCCTCACAAACGTTAGGGCCAGGACTGAAGACCACTACCAGGTCCCACACTTCTCCCCGCCAACCCCATACACTCACTCTCTAGCGTGCAGACCTTACCTGGGCAGAAGTTTCTCCCTCCTCCTGCTCACCGTTCGGCCTTTCCAAAGGACTGTTCAATGCAGGTCTAATGCTATCTGACCGCTGAAAGAGAAACAGCACCACAGCAGTCAGTACAGGGCGTCCCAACCATACAGAACAGGTACAGAGAAACCCTGGAGTGGAGGGCTGGCGGTCCCCCGCCAGTCTGGGCTCTCACAAGACCTGCAGCACCAAGGAAATGAAACTGCTGCTCAGATTAATGACAAACAATGGACCCTAAGTGCGAGAGTTATCCACCACTCCACACTTAGCTTCCCTTTAATCACCGTAACTGCACAACGTAACAAAATGACAACAGCACATAACACAGACCACACTTTGTGGAAAGCCCGACGTGTCATCTCGCTTATCTTAACATCCTACAGAATAGGTTTTGTTGTTCTTCTCGTTTTCAGCCAAGCTGAGATCCCGGCCAGCGCTGCAGCGAATCTGGGCCCTGCCCACAGCCCTGTAGGTCTTGGCCCCGCAGCCAGCTGGCTAGCCAGTTTCCGCGTTTCATTGCCTGAGGACTCACTCCAGCTGCACGAGAGAACTTTGTCCCCAAGAAGCTCTCAACCTGTGATTTATGGGAACTGGTGTACCAACACCCAGCTCCTCAGCTCTCAGGAGGGACAATGTGTTCTGTGCTGGATCCCAGAGGCCCCCAGCGTGATTCAGCCCTAGTCACCCCGCCTGTAACCTGCTGGGTAACAAACCCTTTACTAGTCGCCTCCCTTCTCCATCTCACAGCCTCACCAACCACCTGTGTTCCCTGGAACACGTCCTATATTAACTACTGGCATGGGCATTCTTGTCTCAGCATCTGCTGCTGGGGACATCCAAAGCCAACGCCGGGTCAAACAGGTGAGGGCTGGCGAGTCACAGATACCATCCCAGCCCACTTGACTCCAAAGTCCACACTATTCCCTCTTCACAGATTCTCAAGTGTTAGGATTTTAGTAATAGATTTCTATGTGTTTTTATATACTGAAGCTGAATAATTTCTTGGCAGATGAATCCCCAGTCCTACCAGAAAGCTTCTTTAAAATGTTAATACTTGTAGTACCCACCAAAGCGGTTACATGTGATGGGCCAGGAAACTTAACCTTTTTAAAAAGTCCAAAGTCCAAGCCTCACATAGCTATTAGACCTCACAGAAAGCCACGCCAGGTGCAACACTAGCCAGGAACAGATGGCACTGGCTCCTCGAGCCGGGTGTCGGCAAACTTTGGCCCGCGAGCCACATTCACCCCTCCACCTACTTGCATCACTCAGGTTGTACTGAACACAGGTACAATCATTTACATCCTGTCCACGGCTGCTTTCATGTGACACCAGAGGTGAAACGTTACAACAGAGGCTGCATGGCTCGAAAGGCTATGATAGTTCCATCTGCACTTTACAGAAAAAGGGTGCCAGTCTTTGTCCAGAAGGAACCAGTACTAGCCTCCTGAACGGGCAAGGCTAGGCTGGTTGCGGTGCATGTCTGGGAAAAAAATGACCCAAATACATTTCTTCTTGTGTTAATCCAAGCCTCTATGGTGGGTCTGTCCTCAGTCATAATTCGGAAAGTTAGGGAAATTACAGAAACCCTTCATCAAATCTTAAATAATATTCAGTTGTGAAAGTAACTAAAAACGTCTAGAGAATTAAATCTTTGTGAAGACAGAATCCATTAGTCCTGCTTAAAACCCCAGCTTACCTGTGTGGGAAAAGGTACTTGAATCCGTCCTTCTAAAATGTTGTCTGTTGTTATTTCAACTGAGCGTGTCAGTTGGAGGTCCTGCAGCACGAGGTGGTACGGAACCTGGGGGAACATTTCTTGAATCTGATGAGCCTGGAGGAATACAAACACAAAAGGCCACAGGAACATTCACTCGCATGAGGTTTACTCAGTGAGGTCACGGTGTATGGCAGGCTCTGGGCACTAAGCGTGGCCCTCTGCCTTGAAAACAAAGGTAAGGGGCCACGTCTATTCTGCAGATCACCAAACTACAATCCCTTTAATATTTTTTTTCCAGGATGCCACACAGATAACTTGAGACAACATCAATTTCAAAATGAAAGGAGCACAGAAATCCAGCTGTATCCCCAAATAGGCTCAACTAGAATATTCTAGTTGAGCATTTTAAAGCTTAGTAGAACTTGGATATAAAAATGTGTTCTTCTTAAAGATAATTCCGAAAAGAAACAAACTTCTGGTATATACCACATGGATGAAATTCAAATGTATTATGTCACGTAAAAGAAACCTGGCTCAAAAGGCTATGTAGTGTATTCCATTTATATGACATTCTGGAATAGGCAAAGTTATAGGGCCAGAAAACTGATTACGTGGTTACCAGAGGCTGGGGGATGGGGAGAAAAGGCGATAACAAAGGGGCATAATGGAATTTGAGGGGAGGGGAATGGAACTGTTCTGTCTCTCTGTGGTCACACAACTGTGTGAGTTTGACAAAACTCATAGGACTGGATACTAAAAAGGGTAAATTTATTCTATGTAAATTATACCTCATTTGAAAAGGTAAGATTATATATAAAGAATGTGAATTCCTAATATTGCTCTTGAGCTACAGTTTTCAAAGTGAACTCTAGAAATGCCTCCGAGTCCACTCCATTAGGGCTCTCGGGTGGGCACGCGCACGTAGGGGGAGCAGGCACAGGTCTCAGCAAACTACCACCCACACTGCCATCAAAGAGGCTCCAGATTTTGTTTTGTTTTGTTTTTTTAAAGATTTTTATTGGGGAATTGGGAGATGGGAACAGCGCTGGGGAATTGGGGG